TATGAACAATTTTCTACTGTCACTACAGTTCCCATAAAATGTCTGTACAGCTGTACATACCTGATCATGCCCTCAACTGGCGTGCCTCGCATAGTCGAGAATAAATATTTATTTATTTATTTATCTTCCAGAAACGCAACCGCCCGGAACTGCCCAGGCAACCCTCGAGTGACTCGCCAACCGGCTCAATGCAACCCTGGAGTGACCCGCCAGCCGTCCCACAGCCCCCATCCTCACCCCATTCCCCGCCCTCGACCGCAAACACCCACGAACGGACTGGTCCCCAAACGCCGCCTAGGCATTGCCGACGAGGACGCCCGCATTTCTCCGAGGGACGAGGACGCCTGGATTTCTCCGATGGACGGGGACGCCTGGATTACTTCGTGGGACGAGGACCGTGGACTAAAGTGCGGTAGGGGGAGTGAGACCTTCCAAGCGCACCGTCGGGTCTGCAGCAATGGGAAGGTCTTGTTGACCTTTTTTCTGGGCTGGCCAGTTATTTTGCTATCTGACCAGCCCGCCCCGACGGCCCACCTATGATGCACTCTGGTCCACACGATCGTCATAAATAAAACTGACAAAAGCCTGGACCCAGCGAAATCTGCTACACACCAAACTTTGGAAGCTCTTCTCCAGCCCCTGCAAACATTTGCATCCACCCTCACCTTCCGTTCCCCCACTAACAGCTCCATCGAAGGCTTCCCTCCTTTAGCCTTCTAGGGGAATGACCTTGTAGTGTACCGGAAAACATGCTCTTTCAGTACTTTGTAACATTGGATTTTACGGTTGTTTTAACCTTCGAAACGTCCACCTGTTTTACTGACTGCACGTCCGTTGTCACAAACCGTTTTGGTGAGTTCCTCGCTGCACGTTTCTCGCTCTGTCTGATTCGCTTCCTATTCTTGTAGCCTGCACAATATACGTTGGGTTCAGTTGCCTCCGACTTCTGTACTGTCGTATTTGGCACGTGTTACATGTCATTGCTTACCGACTAGTATCCCAGGTTCCGCCCAGCAGACTCCGCCAGGCTTACTGACTTCATTATATACCCAATAATAGATCTGGCTTTGGCAGAGCTATAGCTGGCCTGTTCGGAGAAAGTTAGCGAGCTAGAGTGTGCACGGTGAAGCTGTTACCTGAGGATGTGCCGTTAAGCGTCAGGGTGTTGTGTGGTGTGGTGCAGCGATATGAGAGAACATTGCATTTCATTGGTGAGAATTCTAGTCGCCAAGTATCGCACCAATTTTCGAGAGCACGAAGATCGTTCTGAATGTTTGAGAGGCTATTTTGTATGTGGCTAGGCTCGAACGAAAATACAACTTTGATATCATCGGCAAAAACGTATGGAGTGCCGTATTGAAAGACGCGGAACACGTCATTAATGTATAACAGAAACAGCAGAGGGCCAAGTACACTACCTTGAAATACTCCGCTAGTTACGGGTGCTCTTTTGGCAGATGTGTCACCTAGTTTTACTGACTGCGTTCGGCTAGAGAGGTAGGAAGAAAACCAAGAAAGAAGATGGCCGGTGACACCGAATGCAGCTAGTTTCGTCAGCAGTCCATTGTGTGGAACCCGGTCAAACGCTTTTTTCATGTCTAAGAAGATAATGACCAGCGCTTGCCCCGAGTCAATGGAGTGTGTCACGTAGTTCAAGGATTCAAACTGGCATGTTTGGCACGATTTAGCCGGCAAAATCCCGTGTTGGGACTTATTTATGAGATTGCGCTGCAGTAGCAAATGAAGCATCCCCTCCTTGACTATCCTTTCCATAACTCTGGACGCAAAGGGTGTATGGCTTATAGGTCGATAGTTGTCGATATTTTGGCGACAGCCTCGTTTGTGCCGTGGAACGACTATGGAGTGTTTCCAAATAGATGGGTAGTTTCCGATCTTCATGGAGAGGGTGAAAACGTTGAGAGGAAAGATTGGAATATCCGGGCCTCCGAGTAATAGTAAGGAAGATGGGACTCCGTCGGGGCCGGCGTTGTGTGTCAGTTTCAGTGAGCGAAGAGCTCGAATAATATTGTTCAGGTCGAAATCAATGGTGTGAATGCGATCGTTGGTAAACTTTGGAATCGTATTTGGCAGTAACACATTAGTGCTGATGAAGGCATCACAGAAGTGTGCGTTAATGAACTCGCACAACTCTGCTGCATCAGTAATAACCCTATTATCAGGAAGCATTAGTGAGTTAATGGGCAAGTCGTTGCGGCCACTGCGAAGCTTCATAAGTCGTACAAGTGACTTAGCATGTTCGCACTGCGCAGCGCAGTACGCTCAGCTAAAGTGTGTACATGATTTTGCGAGTTTCTCCATTCCACTAGCATTTCGTTAATACGAATTATGAGGTGAAAATCCTTAGTATGCTTGTAGCGAGAGCGCATTTTCTTAAGCTTAGTGGTAAGCTTACGCGTAAGGGCGTCATCGGAATTTTGAGGTCTCCTGATCGAACGCTCCATTGGGGCTAGGGTATCGAGACAAAGCGTGAAGTTATCGTAAAGTTCACAAGTCGCAGTGTCTGTATTGTTGTCAGGACAAAAGTGTCCCAAGGAGCGGCACGGAGAGGTGAAGAGAAGGCCTCCCAATTCATATGCTGTAGAGGCATAAAGGCAGCGTAGATCGGGCCAACAGGATGAAGGAGTTTGGCAAGCTTGAATGATAGCCTCACAACCTTGTGGTCGCTGGCCGGAATGTTATCTAACACGCTGGCATGCGGGATACCGTTGGTGAATATTAGGTCCAAGGTGTTGGACAGTCTTGTGGGTGCGCGCACATGTTGAGTCCAGCCAGGAGTGAAGACAGTGTCTATGAAGGCCCTGTACCTAGATGGTGCAGATTGAGTAAGCCACGAGATGTGGGGCATATTGAAGTCTCCGCCGATTCTTATATGACGGGCTGGAAGGAATGAAACTTCGTGAAAGAGCTTAGCCAATTCGTCGGCCTTAGTACTAGTCGGATGCGGTGGGTTGTAGATGTAGACTATCATAATGTCAACTTGGCCTCGTATGGCCTGAATCCAGACAGGATCTTCTGGATTTCCAAGTGGTATGGTTTGAAAGGAAGATGCGTGGAATTCATTGCTGACGTATATAAGGCAACCGCCGCCACGTTGATTTATGCGTCCGCTACAGAAAGTCCAGTACCCAGGAATGTGCAGCGGGTCATCAGGCATATCAGCTGCGTGCCGCGTTTCAGTTATCAGCACTTCATGCGGACTGGACAGAAGTATGAGAGGGGCGAGAGGTTGCATTTTATTTTTGATAGCGAGCATTGAATAGTAGGATGGTATACGAGTCGGTCAGATTGGTCTGGATGAGGATGCGGCCAACGGCGCATCTGGCGAACCCCGTTGTGGTGAAAGGTTTGTTTGTCTGCATGCGTTGAGGTGCCTGAACGATGAACCTGTATAAGATAAGAGGCTGGCGGTGGTCAGGGACAGTAGGTTGTAGGGGAGAGTAAGATGTATTCGGGTGTGTAAAAGTTTGAGTTGTGAGATCAGGCGCGTGGTCAGGTGTAGTGCAGTGGGTCAAAGACGTTGTCCAAGTGGCTGGAGCAGACTGGACGATGTCGGTTGCATCATGTCCAGTAGTCGGGTTAGGTGGTATAGCGCCGTAGCTTGATGCAGGCATGCTTGGATCGGGGTCCGCAATTTGCTGCGTTCCATAAAATGGGGGTTACGGGAGATGTTTGGGCGATTTGCGGAGGGATCGCATGCGATGGTCGAATCACAGATTCACTGGGTGCAAAAGGCCGAGGGGGTGCGGTGTTTGTGACACTCGTAGGGTTAATGTATCTAGGTGGTCGTTGTCTGTGTGGTATTGTGACTCGATCAGCAGTGAAACCCGACTTGCTCGGATTTGACTTACGAAGTAGGGGGCTTAGGGTGTTGAGCAGATACTTCTGGCGACCAGGCTGTTCCAGTTTGGTGGTCGCATAAGCAGACTTCGGCCCAGAATAGGGGGGCGAGACTTTCGGTATGTCCATGCGAACGGACTGGGTGTTTTGCTTAATCGGTAGCCGCGGGGGGTTTGTCTTGGCCATGTTGGAACGCTCGCGTGTTGTAACTTTGCTGTACTGTTGTGGTTTTGATGGAAGCCGAGGAGTCTTAGCAATCAAACATCGTGGTTGAGGTTTGCTAAACGCTGGAGTCGGACCAGTAGGAGTTTCCGCGGAATCTTTTATGACACTGGTAAGGGGCGTGTAAGACGACAAGAAGTCAATGCTTTCAACTTCTGATTCCGTGTCATACATGTCTGACGGGTTAATTGAACGCGGACGGTGTGTATTGTCCGCGGCTGTTCTGGTTGTTGCTGTCTTTGAAACAGTCCCAGTTTCGATGCGATTAACGCATCCTTTGTTCCCAGGCGTCTCTAGTACGGCGGGGTCTATTTCTCGTTCTTGTGTTATATCCATGTCCACATTATAAACCATAGAGGAGCAGGTGGTGGGAGTTGAAGTTGGACGAGTGGTAGTCAGTTGCGCT